TATCTTCCTCTGTTCTCCAACTTATTTTTTTGAGGCAAGGTCTCTCACTGAACTCAGGCCTCATAGATCTGGGACACTGGCTGGGTGGTGAAATACCCAGCGTGACACGGGTGCACTTATATACATGTAGTCAATACACTCATACACATAAAATAAAAATAATAACATGCCTTTAATCCCAGCACTCGGGAGGCAGAGGCAGACAGAGCTCTGTGAGTTCAAAGCCAGCCTGGTCTACACAGTGAGTTCCAGGACAGCTGGGGCTACAGGGAGACCCTGGCACAAAAAGACCAAAAAAATAAAAAATAACAAATAAATAAATAAATTGAATTAGGAAGGCCAGCAAGATGGCTCAGTGGTAAAGGTATTTGTGAAGGCTGATGACCTAAATTTGATCCCTAGAATCCATGGCCACCTGTCATTCACTGCAGGAGAGCCTGAAAACTCTGAACTTCCTATAGCAGCACTGTTGTAGCAAAGTGATCGATCAGCACTCAGTAAGTCATGAAAGTAGAGACAGGTTCTCTGCCTATTCCTCTCTCAGGGCTGTGATTGCTTTCCACATTCTCAATGCTCTTGGGGACACCCCCCAGCTAAGAACATTAAACTTCCTGGCTGGTTCAATCTGAGGAGTACTGGGAGGGTGAGAAAAAAATCTTTGCAGCCCACAGGATCTAAAGCAAAGTGAAGCCAGCAGAGGCCCCCTGATACACAAAGAAGGAAAACTATCACAGTAAAGACAGCTCTGGTAAACCTTAGACACTTATCCAAAACAGACTCAGCAACTGCATAAACTTCAGGAAAGATGACAGTCCACAAGTTCAACTGACCCTCCTGTAACATGTCACTGGCAGTCTCTAATTTCCAAGGACCCAGAAAGAAGCCCCTCCAACGCCAGCTCCTCCTTCCTTCCGTCTTCCTGTCCTTTCCACCCCCCCCCATTCCTTAAAAACAAACAAACAAACACAAACTCCTCTAGGTTCAGCAGGATTCATTTCATGCTGTATTTTCTCCTGAGCCACAGGTGCTTCTTTCTTCAGTGTCTTCGGAAATATCTTCTCCTGTCCCTCCTCCTCTGGCTTAGGAACAGTGTTTTTTCCTTTTTGAAATAGGCTTACCCAACCATGCACTCTGTAAGTCTGGCAGTGCAGTTTGGGTGCTCTGTTCACCAAGAGATGTTTGATGTGTACAGAGTCTACACCCAAACCCTGAAGTTCAGCATCACCCTCTGCATTTTAAGCGTGGGCAGTAAAAATTCAGCACTCTTTTTAGGCCACCGACCCCGGGTCCAATCCCACTGCCTACCAACTCCATCATTAAGCCACCAGAGTAGCACATTGTTTCTTTAAAGTGACATGTTTCAAGCCAAGCATGGTGGCGCACGCCTTTAATCCCAGCACTCGGGAGGCAGAGGCAGGAAGATCTCTGTGAGTTCGAGGCCAGCCTGGTCTTCTACACAGTGAGTTCCAGGACAGCTGGAGCTACAGGGAGACCCTGTCTCAAAAAGACCAAAACAAACAAACAACAAACAAACAACTGACCAAAAGCAACTTGGGGAAGAAAGGGGTTTATTTAGCTTCCACTTCAATGTCACAATCTGTCACTGAGGAAAGTCAAGACAGGAACTCAAGTCAGAATATAGAGGAAGAAACTGAAGCAGAGACCACTGAGGAGTGCTGCTGACCGACTTCCTTCCCCTGACTTGCTTAGTTACCCAGCTTGCTTAGTTATCTTGCTTAGTTACAGCCTAGGCCCACCTGCCTCGGATGATGCCTACCACAGCTGAGTCTCCCTGTAAACCAGTTAAGAAAATGCGTCATAGACATGATCACAGGTCGGTCTGATGGAGGAAATTCCTCAAATGACGTTCCCTCTTCCCAGGTGTCAAGTTGACAAACCAACTAGTGCAAGCAGCCTTGCTGTCTTCGGTTTCACGGCCACCAGTGATGCTTCAGTGGCAGTAATTGATGCTAAGTGTACATCTCTATCTTACGTGGTCCGATGCTGCTGACAAACCTGTTAGCTTTCTCCTCACTGGGTAGAACTGGGGACTGGCCAAAGTAGGTTACACAGTAAGAAGATCATTCAAAAAAAACCAAAACAAAACTCAGAGATACAGCCAAACGAAGAGGTGTGCAAACAGCAACATACACACACAAGAACCATGGGAAAGCAGAGCAACATGACCTCTCCAGGAGACCCTGAGTCCTTACCTACTGAACTTATGACACAGAAATGAACAAAAGCCAGATGAAGACTTCAAAAGTTTTATGGTAAAAAACGATCAAACAAACAAACCAACATGACCAACATGAACAAGGGTACAAAGATACAGATTAATTCAATCCAGGATAAATCAGCAAAACGCACAGGAAAATTGGCAGTATCAATGAAAAAGACAGCAACATAAAAGAAAAACTCAGGGGGCTGGAGAGATGGCTCAGCGGTTAAGAACACTGGTTGTTCTTGTAGAAGACCCAGGTTCGAATCCCAGCATCCACATGGCAGCTAACAACTGTCCGTAACTCCAGTTCCAGGGGATCCGAAGGCCTCTTCTGACCTCCGCAGGCATTGCATGACACGGGTACACTTACCTACATGCAGGCAATACACACATAATTACACATAAAAATAATAGATAAAATATTGGGAAAAAAAAAGAAAAATTCAGCAAGGAAATTAGAATTTTGAAGAAAAAAAATAGAAATGCTGAAATCAAATGCCCCAGCCTGCGGGGTCTGCAATGGGGTACCTGGATTGGGGAGTGGGGATGTGGATGAGGCAAGGGGCAAGAGAAATGGAGACAAGACAGTGCTCTGATCAAGTCTCGTTTATTGAAGCACAAGCATACAGTTAAATAAGAACTACAGACTGGACTGAATCATATCAGCCAGATAGCAAAGACCCAGGTGCACTCCAAGGGAGGAAAGGTTCAGTGAGAAACCCTGTCTCAAAAATAAGGTGGATTTGCTACAGAATTATTAGAACCAGTACAGAAGACAGCTAAAGGTGCTGCCAAGACATCGTCAGGATCACCAAAAATAGATAAGAAAAAAAGTCCATATGGGCTGTGGATACCTGTCTAAAAGAAGAAAATTAATGGCTGACATCACCTAAAAAATTGTACTTTACTGCAAGTTATGTCTAGTATTATGTCACCTGCTCGAGCAAAGGCAGCAGAAATTGCTGCAGAGACACTTAATGGTGAAATGCTAACAAGTTTCTCTTGATGTGAGCACAGATGGACCAGAGAATTGCATACAGGTGGGAGTCTTGTATATACTTGTAAGTAGTGTATATCAGTTATATACAAAAGTGAATTGTGTAAAACACAGTTGTACTATGTTTTGTACATTATAAAATAAAAAAATTTTTTTTGTCTTTTTGAGACAGGGTCTCCCTGTAGTCCCAACTGACCTGAACTCACTATGTAGACCAGGCTGGCCTTGAACTCACAAGGATCCGCCTGCCTCTGCCTCCCAAGTGCTGGGATTAGAGGCGTGCACCACCACGCCCGGCTATAAAAGTAATTTTTAAAAAATCTAATTGAGTCAACTAAAAATACAATAGAATGCATTACCAACAGACTCAGCCAAGCATAAGAAAAAAATACTGGGGACAGGGCTAGGACTGATGAGTCACTACCTCCAAACGTCCTTAATGGAAAAGTAAAACAAACACAAAAGCAACCACAATGTCCAAGAACCCTGCGACACAATATCAACAGACCAAACCTCAAAGTCCACAGGAGAGAAGGAGCCCAGACAAATGCTAAAGGCAAGCAGAGAGAATCTATTCAATGAAACCATGGCAGAAAATTTAGCAAAGCTAAAGAAAAGACTTTAACTTTTAAAATTTATTTATTTGTGTGTGTGTGTATGTGTGTGCATGTGTCTGTCCATTTGCTCGCATGTACGTGTCTATGGGAGTGTAGGTAGGTGCCCAACGTGGCTAGAAGAGAGTCAGAAACCTTGGAGCTGGAGTCACAGGTATTTGCGAGCCAGCACAGATGCTGGGATCTGAACACTGGTCCTCACGACTGAGCAGAAAGTGCCCTTAACCACTGAGCCATCTCTTCAGCCAGAAGTAGACACTGAAAACCTCCAAATAGACCAGACCAGAGAAGAACATTTCCATGACATCCTATAATCAAGTTATCAAAGACACAAAGGAGCTGGGCACAGCAGGGCACACCTTTAATGCCTGCACTCAGGAGGCAGAGGCACTCAGATCTCTGTGAGTTCAAGGGCAGCGAGGTCTACACAGCAAGATCCAGGCAGCCATGGCAGCATAGTAGGACCCTATCTAAAGAAAGAAAAAAGATCCATGAATAATTAAACTTTAAGAGTCAAAAGTTCTTTAGGGACTAGAAGTGGAAATTAAAATCAGACTCATGAAAATGGACAAAACAGGATTGACTTCTTAGGAAAGCGGTTTAGGAGTGCACGCCGAAGTTGAGTTCAAGTGTCCTACAGCCCAGCAAATCCATGTAGGGATCCACAACAGAAAATGGTGCATGATCCAAAGGCACAAGAATGGCCACTGCACTATTCATAACCACCATAAGTCAGAATGAACCCCAGTGTACAGGTGCAAGGCAATGGATAAACTGTGGCGTAAACAGCTATGAAAACCCCTCCTAGTACTGACACACATGCTAAAGTGGAAGACTCTCGCAAACAATGGTGAGCAAGTGAGACCAGACAAAAGCAAATACACACATACTGGATGGTTCTTCAGACAGACTCCCCCTAGTGCTGAAGACTGAACCCACACATTCTAGGTAATTACTCTCCATCGAGCTATAACCCCAGCCTTCCAAATATAGACTTGTGTGTGCCCATGTGAGTATTTGTGTGCGCATGTTCGTGCACATGTGCATGTGTGTGCACACACATGTGGAGATCAGAGGGCAATATCGAGTGTCATTCCTCAGGGAATGTCCACTTTCTTTTTTGAGACAGGGCTCTCACTGGCCTGGAACTCTCCACGTAGGCTAGGCCTGCTGGCCACTGAGCTCTACTCTTGTACCTGTCCCCCTCTCCAGAACCGGGACTAAAAGTGCATACCACCATACTCTTTTCTTTCTGTATGGCTCTGGCTAGCTATGTAGACAGGCTGGCCTCAAACTCACAAAGATCTGCCTCCGGAGTGCTAGGATTAAAAGCTCACACAAAGATTTTTTTGCATGTGTTCTGGGGAACAAATCAAGCCCTTAGCCTTGGGTGGTAAGCACTGTACCAGCCGAGCTATCTCCCCAGGCGCTCACAGAGATTTAGAAAACAGACCCCACGCGCCTTATAGGCCATGATGACTACCTTCAGAAAGGAAGAGGTGTAACAGGAAAAGGCCCAGGGGCTTCTCAGGTGTGGGGTAAGACTCTGCTTCTTGAGCTGGGTGTTGGGAACAAGGATAAACTCACTTTGTGATTATTCAGCAAGCAGTACACTTAGAAATTATATACTGTAGGGTGCGGTGGTGCATTTCTTTAATCCCAACACTCAGGGAGGCAGAGGCAGGCAGATTTTGAGGCCAGCCTGGCCTACACAATGAGTTCCAGGCCAGATAGAACTATAGGGAGACCCTGTCTCAAAAAAACAACAACAAAAAAAAGAAGTTATACACTGTCCTGTTTGTACACTATGTTCAGGAAAAAACAAAAGTCCGGAGACTAAGTGTTCAGTAGGCGATCCTGATGATCAGAATATACCAGAGGTTAGCTAGCTACTGGTCCAGCACATACCACTGCATCTCAGTAAGAGCCTAAGAATTAAGTAAAGAACTTTCTAGAGTATACAGTTTACAAGGATGGAAAGAACAAGTGGGGACATGAGCAACAGATACCAACAAAACTTTAGAAGCTAGAAAGTAAGAAATGGTATCTAGCCAGACATGGTGGGCCTTACAGGATAATCTCTGTGAGTTCAAGGTTAGCCTGGTCTAGATAATGAGTTCCGGGTCAGCTGGAGCTACAGGGAGACCCTGTCTCAAACTTAAAAAAAAAAAAGAAAAGAAAAAAGAAAAGAAACAGTATCTGACTCCACCCACAGGATGGAGATTAAACCAAGACTTTTGGGAAGTGAGAGAGCTTAGGAGGGTCCCAAAAGAAATTAAGTGCATTCATTCAAGAAGGGGCTGAGATCTTGTTGGCAGCAGACACATCTGAAAGTGGAGATGAAATGGTTGGGTGTCACCATTTATGCAAATGTCCAGTCACTGGTTCTCTGGACAGGAGCAGCCCAGGAAGTAGCCCCTCTTCCTCAACTCTAATAGAAGGGAATGTCATAAAGGTGTTGATATAGGTAAGGATAGACGTGACATGGGTTGTACAGATGTGTTGATATAGGTAAGGACAGACGTGACATGGGTTGTACAGATGTGTTGATATAGGTAAGGACAGACATGACATGGGTTGTACAGATGTGTTGATATAGGTAAGGACAGACGTGACATGGGTTGTACAGATGTGTTGATATAGGTAAGGACAGACGTGACACGGGTTGTACAGATGTGTTGATATAGGTAAGGACAGATGTGACACACAAAGAAAACAGAAAAGTTAAGTAAACACATTCCAACCATGCAGATCCCTTTAGTCCTGGGTCCCAGGACAACCACATCCACAGCCTGCACCTCTAAACAGGAAAATGGGGGCACTTCCTCAAGGGATTCTGACTGGCTCAGGAGGAAGATATTCAGCTACTGAAAATAAAGATCCAGAAGTAGAAAAGCAGTCTGGTCATCCATCAGCTGAGGAAGCCTGCAGCCATGTGACATGCATGCTTCCAAGAACCTTCACAGTGCCCACCTCAGGTCTATACAGCAGCCTCTGACACAACAGAGAAAAACATGAATAAATAAGACAGCACAAGTGAATGGAAACAGATGCAGTCAAAAGGTATCACAAAAACTGTCATTAGCACCCTCCTCAGAAGATGGCTCACTCATCAAACAAGAAGATGGGTACCACACAGCAGGAACATTCCCAGTTCTTAGAGATTCAAAGCAGCAAAAGGCACAAAAACTGAATAGAACAATTAGCCATGAACATCTAGAACATACAGAAAAAGAATCTTTTAAGCATAATAATCTGAATCAAGACAGAGGTCTAATATCTAATTTTGTTTGTTTGCTTATTTACTGAGACAGAGTCTCACTATGTAGCCGTGGCTGGCCTAAACCTCCCTATGTAAACCAGGCTAGCCTTGAACTCACAGAGATCTGACTGCCTGTACTTTTGCCTCTCCAGTGCCAGGATTAAAGGCCTGTACCACCACACCCAGCTCTGACTAATTTCAGAGGGAACACAATTTGTCAAAAAATGTAAGAAAACTTCCTAGAATTTAAAAAATAAGTTACAACTGATTACTCAGCAAGTACTCAGCATCCCACCTTCACGAAGACCAAGATCCTTAGAGAGGATCACATTTCATTAATTCAGTCCTGTGATCCCCTCACACTGGAGGCTACAAGACAACAGGGCAAAGATTTCACTCTCCTGAGGCAAAAGTGACTTGGGCCCCAAATACTGCACCCAGCAAAGCACACTGGAGAAATGAAGGCATTTCTGGGGATGCCAGATCCCAACTGCTTTCTGTTCCCTTCTGAGGATACTAGATGTGTTCCATCACCATGGGGAGCAAGTTTACACAGCAGCCAGAACAGGAGACCATACTGACAAGCCCAGAATTGCTGCAACAGACCTCACAAGCAGCCTGGCCACAACAAACAGGGTTATAAGACTCCAGGACAGGTCACTGCCAGGGGAACTAGACCTAGTAACTGACAGGTAGGAAATGTGCTGAAGTGTGAGAGGTCCTAAGTGGTCCATTATTTAGGAAAACAAAATGGCATACATAATTACACGTAAGCTGCCATGATCATTGACCTGGGCATGATAAAGCACATATTCATCACCAACAGGGCTACAGTGAAAAGACAGAGGGTCAGAGCAAAACTGTAGTCAAACTTTTCTATAGTCAAAACTTGCATGGAATTAAAGATCCAAAACCAACAATCCAAACACGTCACCTAGCAACAAAGAGGTTAGTACCAAAAGAAACACAAAGAGCTGCACTCGCTTCTGTGACACCAGGACAAGTAGATGGGCAGCACCATCCTTCTGCTACGTCTAAGGTTCACCAGTAATAAATTAAGAAACACACATAGGTAGAGGAATCAACAGACTTTTTTTAGTGTCAAAGGTTCAGGAAGGAGGCAATTAGCAGCTATTCTATGAAAGAGAAGTCAAGTGAGTCCTGGTGGCTTTAGGGTGAGCATACCACAAGGCCCATCAGGTCTTCACATGACCCTATGCACATTCTTCAGCTAGACCAAAGGACTAATCAAGGACACTAAAACTAATCTGTTCTGAGAAAATGCCTTTTATTTTTGTTTTGGTTGTGAGCCTGAGCCTTTAACTGCTGCACCAGCTCTTTAGCCCTTATTTTTCATTTTGTTTTGTTTGAAACAGGGTCTCACTGTGTAGCCCTGGCTGGTCCAGAACTCTCTATGGGGACCAAGTCGGCCTGGAACTTGTAGAGATCGTCCTGCCTCTGCCTGGGACTAAAGGTGTACACAACCACGCAGGGTGGAAAATGCCTTTTGAAACTCTATCTACAAACCATTTCCCTTGGCTCTTCATCCCAATAATAGGAAAGAAGAAGGGAAAAAAAGCTCTTGAGAATCCTCCAAGTGACGCCAACGCGAACTCGGAAACACTCTCCAGCTGCCCCTCCCAAAGACTCATTCTGAGAGGCGCAGTTATACCTTAATTTCATTGTCATTTGCAAAATTGCCAAAAGAAGCCATAATTTTGGGAACAGCTGCAGCCAAAGTCTCCTGAACCGATTCCTCGGGTCTCTTGCTCGTCCGAGTCAGGCACGGTAGAAGGTTCACCAGGTAAGGCCTGCATGTGCAAGAGGGAAACTCGTCACTCTTCAGTCTCCTCTGCTGAGAAATAAAAGCACTGGGTTCCCTTTTAGGGAATACCCTGCTTTATAAGCACAATGGTCCTTCATGGAGACCACAATGCTCAGCTACAGAATGGGGGACATAAATGCAGATGAAGTCTAACTGACCCTTGTTCTCTCCCAGGAGTTACAAAGGACAGAAAGTTGGGTTTGGGAGGTGGTAAGGTGACTTAGTGGGTAAAGACATCTACAGCCAAGACTGAAGACCTGAGTTCAAATACTGAGACCAAAATGGTGGAAGGAGAAAATCAACTCCTGCATACTGTCCCCTGAACTCTACCCATGCACCATGGCATAGAGGAACACACACACACACACACACAGTGAAAAAATAAAATGTAATTTTAAAAAGAAGTTGGCTTAAATATTTGCAGTAAATTATAATTATTATTAAAATATTTTTAAATAGGAAAATAGATATTTAAGAAAACACTACTTTAGAACAAAAACTGGGGGCTAGAGAGATGACTCAGCAGTTAAGAACACTGGTTGTTCTTGCAGAAGACCTGGATTTGAATCCCATCACCCACATGGCAGCAAACAATTGTAACTCCAGTCCCAGGGGACCCAACAGTCTCTTCTGACCTCTGTGGGCATTGCACAACACGGGTGCACTTACCTACAGGCAGGTAGTACACACATACACATAAAATAAAAATAATAAACTAAAAAAAAAAAAACTGGGGGGTCTCTTCTGATCTCTGTGGGCATTGCACAACACGGGTGCGCTTACCTACAGGCAGGTAATACGCACATACACATAAAATAAAAATAATAAACTAAAAAAAAAAAAAACTGGGGGGCCCTGGGGAGATAGCATGTGCTATCTGCATTTAAGCTCCAGCACTACAAAGAACCAGGCATAGTGGTGCTCACTTGTAACCCCAGCACTGGAGAAGCAGAGACAAGTGGATGGGTGTGACTTACTAGCTGGCCAGCCTAGGTTAATCCTCTACAGACCCAAGACCAGAGAAAGACCCTGTCTCAAAAAACAAGGCAGAAGACTGGAGAGATGGTTCAGTGGTTAAGAGCACTAGCTGCTGTTCTAGAGGATCTAGGTTCAGTCCCCAGCACTCATATGGCAGCTAACACCTGTCCTGAACTCCAGTTCCAGGAAATCCAAGGTCCTCTTCCGGCCTCCACAGGTACCATGCAAGCATGTAGTATACTTAACTACATGCAAGCAAAACACTCAAACACATAAAAAAAAAAAAAAAAAAAAAAGGCCAGGCATGGTGGTGCACGCCTTTAATGCCAGCACTCAGGAAGCAGAGGCAGATGGATCTCTGAGAGTTCAAGGCCAGCCTGGTCTACATAGGGAGTTCCAGGCCAGCAGGGGCTACAGGGAGACCATATCTCAAAAAGACAAAAAAATAAATAAATAAACAAATAAATAAATAAAAGTACAAAGAAAATAAATAAATAATAAATGACCCCGAGGCTGACCTCTGGGCTCTAACACATAGGCATACGGCTGCACAGGTACACACATGAACATGAACATACACATCCTTGAACAAAAGCATTTTTTACCCTGTCTCAAAAAGACCAGGAAAAAACAAAACAAAACAAAAAAAATATCATCAGGGCATGGTGGCGCACGCCTTTAATCCCAGCACTTGGGAGGCAGAGGCAGGTGGATCTCTGTGAGTTCAAAGCCAGCCTGGTCTACATAGTGAGTTCCAGGACAGCTGGGCTCCCCTGTCTCAAAAAGACCAAAAATAAAATAAAATAAATATCACGTTTTTGAAAAAGTAGTGTTAAAAACTACTGCAGAACAGCTGTTTCCCCACGTCACCTGACCATCACCATCATGAAGCAAAGTGCCTGTGGTGACTTACGGGAGACCTTGGGCCCACAGTCATGGTAACAAAAGAGAACTGCAGCCGACAGCTAGGTCTGTGGTAATGAAGTCATTACTATTTCCTCAGAGTCCCGTCACCGCTCCCTGTGCCTCTAGAACCCCAGTAAGCCCATTAATTTGCAAGCTGGACTTGATGGAATCTTTCTCTGGTCTACCTGAAGTCAATGCAAGGTTTTCAATGTTCCCTAGGAAAGCTGCACAAGCACTGGGAAAAAAGGTGTTGGTATTAAATGAGGCTTCAAAGGACAGCCCAGCCCTAGAGAAGAAAGCAGGCAGATGTCTGAAAACCTGTCAGACAGGAAGGCCAGGGGCCTGTCTAAAACACTATGTTTCTGAGCTCCCAGGGAAAAAACAAGCCAGCTACCACGAGGAAGGACAATCAGACCAGTGCACCAGTACAGCATGTCTGAGGTGCTGGCCAGCAGAGGCCAGCTTGCCTTTTGCCCTGGGCAAGGAGTCTGGATTTGATCTGAACAGCACCAAGGGACAATTAACAAGGTCTAAAGAAGGAAATGATCACTTTGTCTGCTACATGGTGAACTTGGGATATGATGCTTCAGAAATAAGACAAATTTTCAAAGGCGAGTTGGGTTGAGAACATAGCTTGTTGGCAACATGCACAGTTAGCAAGCCTGAGACTAAATTCAAGTCCCAGCACCAAAACCAAACCAAACAACCAAATAAAAGGAAAAGGGTTTTATAAAAAGAAACTTCCTCAGTGACTCAGTGACCATACCTCAGTGGCCACATAAGGTTCTTACTGAAACTCAGCCTCAATTGAATAAAGGATTATTCCTTATTGATGGTCATCAAAGATTTAGGACACTGCCAGCTTCTCAAGAAGAGGGCTGAGGGTCTGTGCAGAGAACAGCTCCTCTGGCAGCTGACAGGAGCAGGTGAAAACCATACATAGTCCTGCTTGTTTCTCAATCCAGCAGGACAGAACTGTTGAGATCAAGATGAGACTCAGTGACAAAGCAACCGCCTCGCATGCACGGGGCCCTGGGTTCAAGCCAGCACCAAGGGGGAGGGGGAGGGGCAGTGTTTCAACAAGTTAAAACCTTTACGCACAGTTCAACATTCATTTTTTCAACCCATGAACTAGAGAAATGCTTATTTTTCAACAACTGCTATGCTTGGTGATAGACAGGTGATTCCAAATTCCAATCATTAGAAAAGCATCTTTAAGCAAATACGTCGTGCAGACACTGTTATCAGTCTGGTGATGTGCACAGAATACGGACAGTGAGACCGTGTTGCTCTAGAAAACACATTCCATAAATCTCTTAAGGGATGATGAGACAGACATGAACACTAATGGTGGCTATTCCTGACAAGAAGGACATACAAGAGGGAATGTGAGCAGCAGTAGTCAGAAGAGGCCAAAATGGGTGACTGTACAGTAGACAGGAAAGACCTCTCAAGGGTGGACACCTGCACTGGGACGTAAAGGGCAGGCAGGAGCCAGTTACCCACTGAAAATAACCCTGAGATATAACTAACCTGCATTTTTGCGGTCGAACCAAGTGAGCCAGCTCAGCAAACCTCCACAGGGCAGCTCGCAAACTTCGAGGAGCACCATTCTGAGTGGGATGAATGAGTGACAACATTTAGGAGTCAGGCACACCAGTTACCAAAAGAGGTACTTAAACACTGTTTCACAGTCAATTTCACGATTAATTTTCAGAGTAAGGTTCAGTTAAATGTGTAAAATACCTAGTAACTACTTCTGAGTTTTAAGGTCCAGAGAGTTCAACTACAAATTTTTTAAAGATTAAGATGCTTTTGAGACAGGGTCTCCCTGTAGCTCCAGCTACCTGGAACTCACTCTGTAGACCAGGTTGGCCTCGAACTCACAGAGGATCCACCTGCCTCTGCCTCCCAAGTGCTGGGATTAAAGGCACGCGCCACCACGCCCAGGCTAAGATGCTTTTTTAAATTCCCATTTCATCGAATTAAAAATGAAGTTTTTAAAAACATGAAATAGAGCTGGGCGTGGTGGTGCACGCCTTTAATCCCAGAACTCTGGAGGCAGAGGCAGGCGGATCTCTGTGAGTTCGAGGCCAGCCTGGTCTACATAGTGAGTTCCAGGACAGCTGGGGCTAGGAGACCCAGTCTCAAAAAAGAGCGAAAAAAAAGAAAAAAAGAAATAAAGTCCACTTTACCAAATGGCATTTCCTTCTAACAGTTTTGCTTAATAGTTAAAATTTCACACACTGCTCAACAGTGAAGCAGTACTGTTTCAATAAAACAAAGGCCCACCTTTTTAATTTCCTTGTAGAGTTCTAACTGTAGCCTTGGAAGGTTAGAATCCATCAAAGCCTGCAAGGAGATATAAGGATTAAAAAGCAGCAGCAGCTATAACCCACTCACAGCGCTACAGAAACCTAAACTGCAACCAAAATTTCAATTTAAAAACTGTTTTCATTTATTTTTATTTTACACGTTGAGTACTGTGTATGTATTTAAGTGCATCACATGCATGCAATGTCCATGGAGGTCAGAAGAAGGCAATAAATCCCCTAAACTAGAATTACTGATGGTTGCGAGCCGCCTTGTGGGAGCTGGGAAGTGAACTCGGGTCCTCTGCAAGAGTGCTCTTAACCACTGAGCCACCTCTCCAGTCCCCCAAAATTTCTATTTTAATTTCTAAAAATTTATTTTTATTTTATGTGTATGAGTGTTTTGCCTGTATATGTTAAAGTGCACCATGTCATGCAATGCCCATGGAGATCAGAAGAGGGCACCAGATACCCTGGAACTGGAGTTAAGGTGTTAGCTGCCATGTGGGTGCTGGGAACCAAACCCAGGTCCTCTGCAAAAGCTGCTAGCGCTCTTAAACAGTGAACCGTCTCTGTGACCCCCAAAATTTCCATTTTTAAGGCAAAATAAAACATTAGAGCAACTAAATTAGGAAGCTATTTGTTAAGCAAGTATTTACAGAAATTGCGGAATACTATAGACACAGGTCCTTCACTAGGATAAAAAAGGAACAAAAGCCGGGCGTGGTGCCACACGCCTTTAATCCCAGCACTCGGGAGGCAAGAGGCAGGCAGATCTCTGTGAGTTCAAGGCCAGCCTGGTCTACATAGTGAGTTCCAGGACAGCTGGGGCTACGGGGAGACCCTGTCTCAAAAAGACCCTCCCGTCCAAAGGAACAAAAACTGAACTCTTATAACAATCAAATACATGATACCAAAATTAAAATGAATTACAAAGCTCCCACAGTAAACCTGCCTTCATTAGCAGTGAGTTTGTTAGATGGTAGCAGTTCAGGTGACGGCCTATGACGTGCATAAGGCACAGGGGCACTTGAAGGACGTCTAGCAAGTGAACACTTGACATGGATGGAATCATCTCACTTGAAGCTCTGGACCTCCTAACTATCAAGGATGCTCACAGCCCCCATTGACTCCCAACAGGCCTAAGGGTCAGTGAGGAATCTCACAGTCCTCACAGCTTGTTTCTGCCCCTGCCCTCCCCAGCCCCCTCACTCCAGAGCTGTGTCCAACTTTAATCCATACTCAAGGCTAGTGGCACAAAATCCATATAGAGAAGAGGACCTTCCTCTTGTCTTGAATTTTCTCTTCTAAAATGGCTTGTCTACAGAGAGTATAACTCAGGCCTCCTCTCACGCTCACATGCAGCATCTGGTGTCTAGAAACAGAGCTGTACTAAGCAGGGGTAATGGTTAGTTCTGCCAACCTGACATAACTTAAAATCAGCTGGGAACAGAGTTTAAATGAAAAGCTGTCTAGATCAGGTTAGCCTGTGGGCATGTCTTGATTGCCTTACTTAAGGTGGGTCCAATCCATGGACCATCGTACCAGAAAGTGGAAACCAGGCATGCACTGATAGGACTAAGAATTTTTAGTACTACTAGGAATGTTTCCCACCACGCAAACATATTGAGTGCTCATATATGAACCACAAAGACAGATTCCATTTTACAACTGAGGAAAATTAAAGTTGGGTGTGGTGGCGCACGCCTTTAGTCCTGGTGGAGGCAGAGGCAGGCGGATCTCCATGAGGCCAGCCTGGTCTACATAGTGAGTTTGAGGCCAGCTGGGGCTACAGGGTAAAAAAAAAAAAAAAAAAAAAAAAAAAAAAAACTGAAGAAGCTTAGGTTCACAGAAGTTAAGTATATTCCCTAAGTTATTCCGTGATGAAGTGGCCAACATAATCTCTCTGTCTGCACATTCTACCTGGGCCTGAAGAATCAAGGAGACCCAGAACAGGCCATCTGTAACCATGTTCCTCCTCTGACAAGAATAGGATCCTGAGGATCCATGGCTGAAGAGGACAATTGCACAGCTAGGAGACAGTCTGGTACTTTAAAAAAGACAGACCCAAGGAAGAGACTGGGGGACCACTCTTCTTTAAGGTACTAACAGGGAAATAACCAAGTTGACCTCTGTTAGGCTGGAGTTCTTGGTTCACCTTAGCAAATGCTACTGGGAAGAAAACCTTCAATGAGAAGAAGATGGTGCCTCTTAAAGCCTGATCTAATTTCAGGACCGGGACTCAAAGTAGGAAGGGAAAGGGGGTGAACACAGTGAAGACCTAATAAACGAGGACTTTGCACAGAGGATAACGGGATCCACATTTTTCTTTTTTTTTTTCCTTTTTTTCTAACAGTTGTTAGCTGCCGTGTGGGTGCTGGGATTCGAACCCAGGCCTTCTGCAAGTACAGCCAGTGTTCTTAACCACTGAGCCATCTCTCCAGCCCCTCCACATTCTTCTTAACCATCATTCAGAACCAGCTTGGGGAACTGCCAAGACGTACATGAGAGCCTGCCTCAACCTGGTCAATTTGAGGTGGGTATGATACTTAACTTAGGACACCCAATTCAAAAGCCCTCTTCACAAACTTGGGCAGTCTGGAAAAGGGTGTCCAGGGCAGGCTTGGGACTCCTAAGGGGAGCACAGCAGATGATAACAAGAAATCAGTTCTGTAAGACACTGAGAATGAGAACAGGAGAGGACTTCAATCTTCCCTTGCAGCCCAAAACAGAAAAGACCCTTAAAGCTGCAGGGACCTACAGACACAGCCTGGAGGGCAAGGACAAGAACAAGACTGTCCGGGTCTGTCCTCACCTCTTCCAGCACTGCCCCCAAGTGGCTGGAACTTTGTGGATTCGTGTTCCTGTCCTAAGCTTCAACTAACCTAATTTGAAAAGTCCCATCTCTACCTACAAGCAGTACTACTTGTCACGAGGGACAGGGAAAGGAGACGAAGGAACGCTCACCCACTTGTCATGAGGGACAGGGAAAGGAGACGAAGGAATGCTCACCCACTTTCGCATTCCAGAGAGCTGAGGTTTGAGAAACAATGCCTGAACAAAAGTGGGACCTCACAAAAAATGAGCTCCCAAGAAACGGCCAGCCAGTGGCCACATCACTGCCCTTCAGAACTTACCTATCACTGTAAGGGTATAAAGGAAACTGCTTCCTGCTGACAAGGCACGTTCAGCCCATCATAGGCAGATACCTGAGCTACCTCCAAATTACACACAAGAAAGATAAGACATGTACACATCCTGAGGATGGCAAGACACGGGAATGCTAATGACAGTTCTTCTCTTAGCCCACAATAACGATAGCACTAAGGGGCACACCATCCACATAACTCTTACTTTTATAACTTTGTTGAGGCATTCATCAGCCACCATCCTGACATCTGACTCTGCATCATCACTGCACAGCAGAAACAGCTCCATGGCGATGCCCAGGAGTTTCTGAAACTCTGGAGAATTTCTAAATAAAGAGAAGAGAGAAAGAGAAATACTGTCAAAACCAGGAGAGGCCAAGGGAGATATGATGATGATCTGGATGAATTCTGGAAGAGAAAGGAACACCACATAAAAATTAAAGAAGTCTGAATAAAAGTGAACTGCAGTTAGCAGCATATCAATATTGACTCATTATTTCTTTTTTTTTTTTTTGGTCTTTTTGAGACAGGGTCTCCCTGTAGCAGCTGTCCTGGAACTCACTATGTAGGCCAGGCTGGCCTTAAAGTCACAGAGATCTATCTGCCTCTGCCTCCTGAGTACTGGGATTAAAGGCGTGTGCGACCATAACCAGCCCTCATTATTTTTTTTAAAATATTTTATTATTTTTATTTTATGCCTGCATGTATGTGAGTGCACCCATGCCATGCAATGCCTCAGGTCAGAAGAGGGCTTTGGATTCCCCTGGAACTGGAGTTAAGGACGGTTTGTAGCCGCCATGTGGGTGCTGGGAATCAAACCCAGGTCCTCTGCAAGAGCAGTCAGTGCTCTTAACTGCTGAGCCATCTCTCCAGCCCCAACTGACTCATTATTTCTGAAAATGTATCATTTAAGGTATTAAATAATTAGGTAATCTTTTCTTTTTTTAAGATTGATTTTTATGTGTTTCGCCTGCATGTAAATGAACCCATGTATGCAATGCTCTTCAAGACCAGAAAGGGCATCAGATCCCCTGAGACAGGAGTTATGGATGGCTGTTAGTCACCATGTGGATGCTGGGAACCAAACTCCAGTCTCTACAAAGAGCAGCCAGCACTCTTAACCACTGAGCCCTCTCTCCAGCTCCTGACCTTTTCAAGTTCTAATTTACACACCCTAAAAAGACACTATCTCAGACACTCACATCTGAGGTAGTCATCTGCTTTGCCTAAGGTTGCTTTCACTCTCGGAATATCTTTGGAGCCTTGAAACACCAGTCAAACATCACATCTCCTCTGCATCCTTTCTATCTCATTTTCAGGTCTAAGGTGTAACTACCTTTCATGGCAGACTTACTCCACAAGCTCACAGAACACTGAATACTAATGTCACAAAAACTAATCTGGGTCCTATGTGTGAACTATTTAAATAAGTTCAGTTGAGAGGGACTGTTTAGAATATCATGATCCAACTGGCAAAGTCAAGTCACAGGCTCAGGCTGGTGGGCCATGTGTGTGAGGCTTTGAAGTACTCCAAACCTATATATTCTGGAAGCGACATCGGTAACATGGGAACAGGATGTGTTATTCTTGAAACAGCAAAACTAGACTGTTGTCCAAGGATCTAGACCTAAATTACTCTGATGTGCAGTGCCCTTCCCTCTTCTACACAGAGATTCCTCTCAAGAGTGGGAAGACAGCCACAGGTCTAAGGGGAAGGAAAGGGCATCAGTAACAATTGCCTTCTCACAAGAGCAAGAAGGACGACACGGCAGTCAGCAACGCTGCAGATCACACCTGCGGGAATACAGCCATGAGCGAAGCCAAGGCAAGTCTGACACCAAAGCAACACTCGGACAGCAGCTTAGGCAGGGCCAACACGAGGCCAGCAGCACCTGCAAGCGTGAGCTTCTTTTTGTCTACCTACATCAAATTAAAAAGAAACAGTTAAGAGTCAATATTTAGCTAGGCATGATGGCGCATGCCTTTAATCCGGGCGATCTCTGTGAGTCCAAGGCCAGCCTGGTCTACATAGTTGAATTCTAGGACAGCTGGGGCCACAGGGAGACCCTGTCTCAAAAAGATAAAAAAAAAAAAAAAAAAAAATTAAAGTTAAAAAAAATAAATCTCTGCAAAGAAATTTAGAAGTGAGAAGCAATGGCTAAGGGGACTTAAAAAAAAGTCAAGAAAATCACTACAAGTTCAGAACTAAAATCAGGATTCTCTTCTCCCCAAAAGGAGAGTAACATGTAGTATTTATTCCAAGAGAAAGAAAAACAATTGTTCACACACACTGCTCTGAGCATAGGTTTCAAAAGCCCAGGTGCAAGTCTCCAACTCAGGCACTGAAACCACGGTGAAAAGACCATTCTCAGCTACTAGGAGGAGAGGTCAGAATGAGGAAAGCTGGCATGGATGATGGCTATGCAACTTGACTGCATTGAGAAGTGTTTGAGAAATGATTGTAAAACACACCTTGGCGGGTATTGGTAATAGTGTTTCCAGAGAAGCTCGACTAAGACGGAAGACCCACCAGAACACAGCCGCCTCATCCATGGAGCCAGGTAGAATGAAATGAAAACAAAGAGAAGCCCTGGCATAGGCAGTCTCTGCTTCCTGGCAACCCTGCAGGGAGCTGCCTTGCTCCACCAGACCTGCCCCACCAAGATGAGTGAATCCTCCAAAACCATGAGCCAAAATAAACTCCCCGTCCTCAAGATGTTTATGTCAAGTGTTTTGTCACAGCCAATGCAGTAAAGAAGCTACAAATCAAAGTGTGCTGGTTTACCTGAGAAGAAAGTTCAACAAGGAGATCCTGGGCCATCAATTACCTACAGCCCACCACTCCCAAGTACAGATGAGCATACACCAGTCACTGCTGGGAGCCCAGGCACAGCCACAAGGGAACACACAGCAGCAAGCTCCCAGAGACAAGCAAGTCAGAAGACAATAAACTTGAGTCTCAGCCTGTTCCAGTTACTGCAACCAATGTAAAAATATCAAGCCAAAGATAATTTTTAAATAGTATCAAGAATGTGACCTAGGGCCACAAAAAGGCTGAGCAGGTAAGACAACTGCTGCTATCCCCAGACCACATGACAGAAGGAGATTGCTAACTGCCACCCTCTGACCTACACACACAGTGCATTTAAAAAGTTTAAGGAGTACAAATTAATTACCAACATGGTGTTCAATCATCGTAATTAAAACTCTCTTACAGAAGATCACAGCAAGGAAACCCTGCCCATGAAGAGGTCTGGACACACAGCCAGAAGTAAAGTGAGAGCATCCTTACAGCAAATGCATTTTTTTTATTATTTTTTTTTCCTTTGGTTTTTTTGAAGCAGGGTCTCCCTGTAGCCCCAGCTGTCCTGGAACTCACTATGTAGACCAGGCTGGCCTTGAACTCACAGAGATCCACCTGCCTTTGCCTCCCATGTGCTAGGACTACAGGTGTGTGCCACCACACCCGGCTTTCTTTTTTATTTTTATGTGTATGAGTGTATTGCCTGCACTTAAGTGAGTGCACCTGTGTTGTGCAATGCTGCGGAGGTCAGAAGAGGGCTTAGGATTCCCCTGGAACTGGAGTTAAGGATGATTCATAGCTGTCATGTGGGTGCTGGGAATCAAACCCAGGTCCTCAGCAAGAGCAGGCAGTGCTCTTAACCACTGAGCCATCTCTCCAGCCCCAGCAAATGCATTTTTTTTTTAATTTCATTTACTATTTTTTATTTTATGTGTATGCCTGTATTGCCTGCATGTAGGTAAGTGCACCCATGTCGTGCAATGCCCGCAGAGATCAGAAGAGGCTGTCAGATCCCCTGGGACTGGAGCCACAGACAGTTGCCAGCTGCCATGTGGGTGCCAGAATTTGAACCCGGGTCTTCTGCAAGAACAACTAGTGGTCTTAACCGCTGAACCATCTCTCCAGCCCCGCAAATGCTTTTTTTTTTTCACTTTTTTTTCGTCTTTTTGAGACAGGGTCTCCTTGTAGCCCCAGCTGTCCTGGAACTCACTATGTAGACCAGGCTGGCCTTGAACTCACAAAGATCCACCTGCCTCTGCCTCCTAAGTGCTGGGATTAAAGGTGTGTGCCCCCATACCCCTTGCAAAGGCATTTTTAAGACAAGGTTTTCCTGTGTAGCCCAGGCTAATAACAAACTCAAGTTCCTCCTGCCTCAGCTCCCCAAGTGCTGAGATGACTGACAGGTGTGTGCTTAGCTTAAATGAATGATTGTCTTAAAGACATTAGGGGAGCAAAGGCCATAAGAGGTCATTAAGGACTTCACAAAGTTCAATATACAATTACCTGAGAGACTGTGCCACAATGTTTTCACATATGGTCAGACAATGATTCACACGGTCTTTCTTGGTGGCTGAGAGTTCCTTCTTTCTGAAAACAAAAAGGAAAGGAAATTAACATGTATGGACATAGTCACTTCATTTATTTCAGTATTTCATTCATTCCTAAGTACTTCTTGGCTACTACTAATGAACCACTACACTGCATGCGGGCAGGTTGGGGTCAGGACAGGGAGGGATGACGTTACTTGGAAGAACAAAGATGAAATAAAACTCCTCCCCAGGTTGGTACTGGTCAGAGTGGTTTTTTTGGGGGGGGTTTTTTTTTGTCTTTTTGAGACAGGGTCTCCCTGTAGCCCCAGCTGTCCTGGAACTCACTATGTAGACCAGGCTGGCCTTGAACTCACAGAGATCCACCTGCCTGGGATTAAAGGTGTGCACCATCACATCCGGCTGGTCAGAGTGTTTTATCACAGCAATAGGAAACCAGTTAGGACAGCATCTTACAACCAATGGCATGTTACAGCTTGATTACCAACTTCTTTTCTTTCTCAGCAGGGGTTGACCACAGAGACAGGGGTTATGACAAATAAGACACTCAATGAAACACAATAATGTGATACTATTCTACACATAAAATAATAAATAAAATTAAATTTATCAATCCTGATCATGGTAATCACAAGATGAATGGGTTAGTCAAAGCTCACAGAACTGTACACTGTACATGTGTACCAAGCTGCTTCTGTTCTCAAAGAGTCACATGGTTAGGAGCTGGAGAGAAGGCTCAGTGGTTAAGAGCACTGGCTGTTCTTGCAGAGGACCTGGGTTTGATTCCCAGCACCCACATGGCAGGTAACAACCATCTGTAACTTCAGTTCCAGGGGATGCGATGGTCTCTTCTGACCTCCTCGGTCATTGCACAACATAGGTGCACCTAAATACATGTAAGCAATATACACTCATACACATAAAATAAAAATCATAAATAAAATATTTAAATTATTTTTTTTAAAAAAAGAAAGCAAACTACAGTGCTTCCTTTCCACCCAATCTATACCTTTAGATGTCCTCAAAGTCAGCACAATTGAATAAGGTAGAAAAGAAAGCTCCAAATCATGAGACTAAATACAAACAACTAAACTAAATCAGAGGACCACTCAACTGGGGATGGGGGTAAGGGTACTAATTCCAAAGAAAATTAAAAACCAACTTGCAAAATCCTGAGTCTATTTAATTCCTAATTCAACTTTCAGGCTTCTGGAAGTACACAGGACTATTAAAATTGCACAAAGCCCGACAATATAGCCTCCAAAAGGAACTTCAGGCAGGGAGTAAAACAGGCAACGGTAGAGCCAAGAACACTGGGCAGGGGTTCTCAGCAGAGAACAGAACCAGAGTCCGAGTGTGATGTCAGAGGAGTCTTCAGCACCAGGGCCAGCGAGTGTTTCCTTTCACGGCTTTCACAAGCGAACTCTTCCTGGCAAGCCATGCTGCTGATCACCTCCCAAAACTTCACGCTCCCCTTCTTAGAAACACGGCCCTATAAAAGCTACACTGTCTGCCTCCTCACAGCTAGCTCTGGATACAGGACTTGTCCTAAAGACAAAATGGAAGCACTACCAACATGCAGAATTTCTGTCTCAACTGGGTGACCATACTATCTCCCCTGTGACCTCCAACCAGAACAAACATGCAGCACCCAGGTTTAGATTATATAGGGAATGGCAAGTCCTGAGTAGGACAGAGAGCAGGCTCCACTGTGCCGACCTCATGCACAGCTCACTGCAGCAATGCTCACACAGAAGCCTAGCAAACATCCTTCACCCAGTGCAAGGTTAACACGACGCCACGGTCAAACAGCAGAAAACTACTTGGCCATAAAAAGGAAGTAACTCTGATGGTAGATAAGGGTGAACTGCAATGCACAACACCTGAGGAAATAAACCTCCAAAGATGATACTGGCTAAAAGTGGTTTCTGAACAGTTTTTAAATATTTATTATGATTCTATTATTTTAAGAAAACAGCCAGGCGTGGTGGTGCACACCTTTAATCCCAGCACTCAGGCAGAGGCAGGCAGATCTCTATGAGTTCAAGGCCAGCCTGACCTACATAGGGAGTTCCAGGCCTGCTGGGGCTACAAGAGATCCTGTTTCAAAAGGACTGAAAAAAAGCCCAAAATGAATAGTTTATCATGGTGGTATATGCCTTTAATCCCAGCACTTGGGAGGCAGAGGCAGGTAGATCTACATACCAAGTTCCAGGCCAGGTGGGCAACAGGCTACGAACCCTCCTTAACTCCAGTTCCAGGGGAATCTGAAGCCCTCTTCTGACCTCCGCACAACACTGGTGTACTCACATACATGCAGACAATACACTCGTACACATAAAATAAAAATAATAAATTAAAAAAAGAAAACAAGTTTCCCCTTAGAAGGTCATGATTACAGTGATTGTCTCACACGTTCATTTTTAAAAACCCACATGGATAATTGGTAGCCAGATATTTTTATGGTGATTTTTCTCAATATATATATTTTTGTTGCATGTTTGTGTATTTCGTACAACACATTTTAATCATATTTAGATTCTCTCCCCTACCTGCACCCCCCATTACCCCCGCCCACCAGATTTCATGCATTCTGTCATATATGTTAAGGCCTATCAAGTTAAGTCTGTGTCCCCTGATGTCCCCTGGTACAAGTCTATCCACTGGAACCTGGTCAGCCAATCTAGCATCACTCCCTTAAAGAAGACCAACTCTCCCTCACCCAGGAGTGATCAGCTGCCAATAGTTCCTCAGCTAAGGTTGGGGCCTCCTGCCATCTACCCATGCTATGCTGGGATTCTGTCTGGTTTGAGTTCCATGAGTCTTGTGCTTGTTGTCACCACTGCTATAAATTCATATGAGCAAGTTCTCAGCTGTCTGAAAAACTGTTTCCTTGTGGTCATCCACCACCCCGGCTCTTGCAATCTTGCCGCCCCCTCTTTCACAATGGTCCCTGAGCCCTGGGTGGGTGAGGTTTAATATAGGCGTCCTATCCAGGGGCACACACCCTGCAGTTTCTTATTCTCTACACTTTGGCCAGTTGTGGCCTTCTGTGTGCATCGCCCTCTGCTACATAAGGAAGCATCGAGAGTTGAGAAATATATTAGTATTCTCTCAATTCCCTGGTTCCATTATGTTCCATGAGCCTTAGGTGTAGAGGTTCCATTGTAGATATGTCACTTAGGGCTGGGCATCTCACAAACACTTATTCTCTGTGTTTGACCAGCTGTGAAACTCTGTAATAGTCTCCATCTGTTTCAAAAAAAAGAAAAAAAGAGCTTCTTTGATGAGTGGTACAGGTGTTCTTGTCTGTAAATATAGGGACCCATATTTAGCATACAGTAAGAAATTACATGTTTAGGGATATGACATGTAAGGTTTTCCCTAGGATCTATGACCTCTCCAGACATTTGTATTTGGCTATGTTTACAGTCCCACACTGTAAACATAGTTCCCTCCCACTGAGCAAGCTTTAAGACCAATTAGATAGCTGTTGATCAGCCCCAAGATAAAAGTGCCACTACAGCCAGCAGTGATGGGGCATGCCTGTAGTCCCAGAACTTGGGAGGCAGAGGCAGGTGGATCTCTGTGAGTTCAAGGCCAGCCTGGTCTACATAGTGAGTTCCAGGACAGCTGGGGCTACAGGAAGACCCTGTCTCAAAAAGACCAAAAAAAAAAAAAAGTGTCACTACTACCAACATAACTTGCTGTTCCTAAAAGGACTCCTTAGTAGAGAGGGGTGAAAAGGTGGACAAACACCAACTCAGTGGCCTTACAACCTATGGTCAGAACAGAAATATTCATGATCTGAGATTGTCAGCAACCTCAGATTCAAACAGAATCTTCACCTCGAAACCTAACAAGCAGGGACCTGAGAGGTCTAACAGGGACCAAGTCCCCTTTCTGTGAGTTCAACTTTCCCAACCAAAATTGACATGGCTCTGCTAACACTGCCAGCATGGTAAAGTGATTCTGATGGGCCCACCAGGATCAGTTAGTTAGTATGTGGCTGCCCAGAGCAGCAGGCCTCACCTACCTTCAGGAAGAAGGACTGCCATGCCTACTGGGTGGAGAATGAGGCCTCCTAAACTAAGCATTCCCAAGGTCCCTTCGGGTTGTGACAACTTTATGAGGTATGTGTTGACAGAAGCAGCATGTCAACATGCCGATTATTACTGCGGTTAAAGATTACAGTGTGGAGGGGCTGGAGAGATGGCTCAGCAGTTAAGAACACTGGTTCTTGCAGAAGACTCAGGTTCGAATCCCAGCACCCACATGGCAGCTAACAACTAGCCATAACTCCAGTCCCAGGGGATCTGACAGCCTCTTCTGACCTCCGCGGGCATTGCATGACACAGGTGCACTTACCTAATGCAGGCAATACTCACATACACATAAAATAAAAATAATAAATAAAAATTCTAAAAAAACTACAGCGTGGAGCTAGGACTCAAAATTGGGTCCTCTGGAGGACCAGCAATGGTTTTCAACCTCTAAGCCATTAAGTACATAAAGTTATCAGAAAAAAAAGTGATGTGGAGATATGGGAGGAGTTGGAGGGGAGGGAGTGGGCATGGATTTGATCAAAACACCTTATATGCATGTATGAAATTCTCAATATAATTATTTATTTTAAAAAAAATTACAGTGTGGCGCACACCTTTAATCCCAGCACTCAGGAGGCTGGCAGGTCTCTGTGAGTTCAAGGCCAGCCTGGTCTACAAAGTGAGTTCCAGGACAGCTGGGGCTACAGAGAGACCCTGTCTCAAAAAGACCAAAAACAAACAAATTACAGTGCAGGCTCCAAAGTGCAGACTACTTAGTAGAAACAGAGAGGGAATGGCAACCAACAGGAGTTTAAGGGAAAAGAAAAAGCAAGCTGGGAAGATGGCTCAGTGGGTTAAACGCCTGCTGTGCAAGCAAGGGGAGCAACAGAGTTCAAATCACCAGAACCTATGCAAATGCCTCGTAGGAGTGGCAGCTGCCTGTACTTCTAGCCTCAGAAGATGGCTGCACACGCACACCCATAGATGCATGTGT